CTATGGAAAGAGCCCAGATGTCCATCAACAGATGAATGGATTCAGAAGGTGTGGTATATGTATACCATGGAATATTACTCAGCCATCAAAAAAAAAAAAAAAGAAATCTTGCCATTTGCAATGATGTGGATGGAACTAGAGGGTATTATACTAAGTGAAATAAGTCAGAGAAAGACAATTATCGTATGATCTCACTCCTATGTGGAATTTAAGAAACAAAACAGGATCAAAGGGGAAGAGAGGAAAAAATAAAACAAGATGAAACCAGAGGGGGAAGATAAACCATAAGAGACTCTTGGTCTCAGGAAACAGAGGGTTGCGGGAGTGGAGGGCGGGTGGGAGGGATAGGGGGGCTGGATGATGGATTTTGGGGGGTATGTGTTGTGGTGAGTGCTGTGTATTGTGTAGGAGTGATGAATCCCAGACCAGTACCCCTGAAACAAATAATACATTATTTGTTAATAAAAAAATTTTAAATTAAAAATTAAAAAATAAAAGAGGGGCATTACAGCGTAGACATTTAATGAAATAACTATAGCTTCAACAGGAATATTAAGTACAGTGGATTTTTTTTCACACTGAAAATGTGTGGCAGTAAAGAATACGATGACTAATGACTATTTGTACAGTTTGAGGTAACTAATTGTGATGTTTTCATGACCAGCAGTTTTACCCACCATTACTTTTGTACCATGAGGGCAAATGTCAACACAGTGAAAACGGTGTGAATAATGTCTCAGTATTATTATGGAAACAGTTTTGATCTTGTGGACCCCCTAAAAATGTCTCAGGACCTTTAAGGATCCATGGATCACATTTTTTTTTTTTTAAAGATTTTATTTATTCATTTGAGACACAGAGAGAGAGAGAACATGAGCTCCATGGATCACATTTTGAGAACCACTGCTGTATAGGAATCTATTGCAAGAAATATACCACACTAAATTTTAAAAAATTAAAAAAAATAAAGTTTGTTTTGTCCAATACAAGTATTGATCCCCTGACTTTCCTTTCTCTTCCATTTGCATGATAAATGATTTTCCATCCTTTCACTTTCAATCTGCATGTGTCTTTAGTATGAAATTAATCTCTTGGAGACAGCGTATTGGTGAGTCTTGCTCCTTTATCCATTCCATCACCCTTTGTCTTTTGATTGGAGCATTTAGTCCATTTTCATTCAAAGTAATTATTGATAGGTATGGCCTTAATGCCATTTTGTTGCTTGTCTTATGGTTATTTTTGTAGGTCTTCCCTGTTCCTGATTTTTCTTGTTCTCTTCTCACATGGTTGCTGGCTTTCTTTAGGGATAGACTTGGATTCTCTTCTCTTTATTTTTTTGCATATCTATCACTGGTTTTTAACTTTTCATTACTATGAGGTTTGTATATAACATCTTATACATATAGCAGTGTATATTAAGTTGATGGTCCTTTAGGCTGAACCTGTTCTTTACTCCTCTCCACCCCCCCCCCCACAACACTAAGTTTTAGGTATATGGTGTCATACCTTATATCCTTTTATTTTGTGAATCCCTTGACTGATTTTTATAGCTATACTTAATTTGACTGCTTTTGTGCTTCCTATTTTTTTTACTCCTACTTACAGTCTTCCTTCCACTAAAAGAGTCCCTTTTAATATTTCTCACAGGGCTGGTTTAGTGGTGATGAATTCCTTTAACTTTTCTTTGGGAAACTCTCCTTTTTCTGAATGATAGGCTTGCTGGATAGAGTATTCTTGATTGCAGATTTTTTTTTCTTTCAGCATGTCAAATATATCATGCCACTTTCTTCTTGACTATATAGTTTCTGCTGAAAAATTAGCTGATATCCTTATGGGGTTTTCTCTTGTATGTTTTCTTTTCTCCTGAAGCTTTTAAAAGCAATTTTAATTACTATGTGTCTTGGTATGGACCTCATTGGATTGATTTTGTTGGGGGCTCCCTGTGCCTCCTGGATCTGGATTTCTGGTTCCTTCCCCATATTTGGGAAGTTTTCAGTTATTATTTCTTCAATTATATTTCTTCAAATAAATTTTCTCCCCACTTCTCTGTCTCTTTATTATTCTTTATTATGCTTGGTGGTATTGCTGAGTTCCTTAAGTCTCGTTTCATCTTTTATTATTACTATTTTTTTTTTTCTTTTGTCTCTCTCCTTTTCAGCTTGATTGTTTTCCATCACTCTGTCCTCCAGGTTGCTGATCTGTTCTTTTGATTCCCCTAGCCTACTATTTCTTCCTTCTAGTTTATTTTTAATTTCACTTACTGAGTTCCTCTTCTCTGGTTGGTTCCTTTTTTTAAGTTTTCTCTCTCTTTCTTAATGGTTTCACTGAGGTCTTTCACTCTTGTCTGAAATCCAGTGAGTATCTTTATGACCAATACTTTAAATGCTCAATCAATCATATTACTTACCTGTTTCATTTTAGGTCTCTTCCTATGTCCTGTTCTTTCATTTGGGACATATTCCTCTTTGTTCTCATTTTGTCTAATTCTGTCTGTTTCTTTGTATTATGAAAGTCAGCTACATCTCCTTCACTTGAAAGTAATGGGCTTTTGAAAAAGAGGTCCTGTAGTGCTCTGCAGTGCAGTGTCCCCTGTTCACCAGAAACTGGCATTTCAGGGGTGTCTCCTATATGCATTATATAGGGCCTACAGTTATGGCTAAGTGACATTTGCCTTCAGTCCAGTTATCTGCAATGGCTCACTTTGCCTGTTGTAGGCAGGATTTGGTTCCAGTTTGTTAGTGAGCGAGTCTTCGGTTGCCTCAGGTTTGAGTTTAGTCAGACCAGGCATTTGCCATAGAGGCAGTAGCATAGAACTGCTGGGTGATTTCTCTTGTTTTGCCCAGCTTTCATTGGTGGTTGGGTCCTGCAGCCAGACTAGATGTCTGGCCCCAGCCCATGGCTGGGGCTGCAGTTGGACTGGTGTGTGTGTGTGTGTTTATTTTCCCCTCTCCCCAGGGTAGTGGTCACTTTGGAGTGGTACTGGTCTCTGTCAGGGCTGCTTGCACCCTGCCAGGCTTGTGGCATCACTTTGTATTGTCTTCTGCCAAGGGCATATTGGAGGGGGCAGGTACACAGGAGAATGCAAGGCAGGGCATGGTGCCAGCAAGAGCCACATAAGTTCACTGGACTGGGATCAAGGCAAGCTGGGTTTTAGGGTGCAGCTTTGCAGAAGCATGGGGGCAGAGTGAGGGGTGTTAGCAAGTTATGTGGAGAATGTTGTGGTCATGCTGGTTCTGGTGAATAAGCTGGGGGTGAGGGGAGGGGAAATGGTACAGACCAACTCCTTTGTTCCTGGGAAAGTCTGTCATTGATTCCTGCCCCTCTAACTCATCTCAAGCACACACTCTGTGATGAGTAAACAAATCTCCCTCCCATATATATATATATATTTATACACACACCAGGTGTTCAAACTGGTGCTTCTATTGCTGTATCTCCACAGTGCTGTTTGTTGTACTCATCTTTAAGGACTTGGACTGTACTCTCCCAGTTCTCCCACAGAGACCTCTGAGTTTTAATGTTCCAAGTGTTAAAGACCTGCTGATTATAAGAACTTATGAGATTCTGCCTCTCTGGTTTTGAAAGCCAAATATTGTGGTTCATCTTCCTGGTGCCTAGGGTGTCTGTTTCTTTCCCCTGCCTATGCTCAGCATTCCTCCCTCCCACAGACAGTCCCACAGAGAGTCCAATGGGTCTGTTTAGTTCCCCACCATCTCTTGGCCCTTCCTACCCTACTGTGGCCTCTTCTCTATATTTAGCTGGGTAGAGTCTGTTCTGCCAGTCTTTGAGGTCATTTTCTGGGTTATTTACACTGATGTGTATGTTATCTATTTGTATCCATGTGGCAAGGTGAGCTTAGGATCCTCCTACTCTGCCTTCTTCCAGATATAATCCCTGTACTGGAAAATTTTATTTTTTATTTTTTAAAGATTTATTTATTCACTTGAGAGAGAGTGCATGCGAGTGTGTGCGCATGAGTGCAGGGGAGGGGAGGTGGGGCACAGGGAGAGAGAGACTCTCAAGCAGACTCAGGGAGCACAGAGCCTGACTCAGGGCTCGATCCCACGACCCTGAGATCATGACCTGAGCTGAAACCCAAGAGTTGAACACTCAACCAACCAAGCCACCCAGTCACCTCTGTACTGGAAAATTTTAAACTACATATATTTCTATTGGGTTGCATGGATCTAGATCATGATAGAACTCATTTAAGAAGAGTGGTCACAGTCAGTTAATTTTTTAAGAAAGGAAAGACAAAGGTATGTCAGAGGGTTCCCAACAAATACTGTGCCATTCTTATGACATTATCTTTCTTTGCCTCTTATTAATGATTTGTATATTTGGTTTATTTTTCGTATGGGACCATAAATATCTTTTCTTACATGACTGGTTTACTTAGTTTTATATTCCTTGCAGATTCTCATACTCTGTGTTAGAGTTGACCCTTGAACAACACAGGTTTGAACTGTTGGGTCCACTTATAATAAGTCAGCTTTTTCGATACAATACAGCATTGTAAATATATTTTCTCTTCATTACAATTTTCTCAGGAACGTTTTCTCTTCTCTAGCTTACTTTATTATAAGAATACAGTATATAATACATATAACAGAAAATATGTGTTAATCGACTGCTAGTGTTACTGGTTAAGGCCTCCAGTCAACAGTAGGCTGTTAGTAGTTTTTTCAGGGAGTCAGAAGTTATACATGGACTTTTGACTATGCAGGTGTCAGCACCCCTAATCCCCATGTTGTTCAATGGTCAACTGTATATGTACATTAAATTGAAATAATTGGTAAGCATTCTATTTTAATTTGGTCTTAGATGATTAATGAGTTTAGTTTATCTGTTATCATATTTTCATATTTTTCATAATTTAATAAAATTATATGAAGGCCTTAGAATCTTAATTTGATCTATTACTGTATCAAAAAATACTGTTTTCCTTCCAAAATGTGGTTGACATCTGTAGACACAAACTAAATCAAATATTTTTTTAGGATATAAAGATCAAGAATGCAGACTCTTGGAAAAGTTTAGGCAAACCAGTCAAAACATCTGGTGTACTGAAATCCTCAGATGAGCTCTTCAACCAATTTAGAAAAGCAGCAATAGAAAAAGAAGTAAAAGCTCGAACACAGGAACTAATACGGAAACATCTGGAACAGAATACAAAGGAACCAAAAATATGTCAAGAAAATCAGAGGTCTGTAATTTACTGGATTAGAGGCTGGGAGATAGTCTTTTTTTTTTTTTTTTTTTTCATTGATCAATTTCCTTTTATTTATTTCTATTTTATTTTTAAAGATTTTTATTTATTTATTTGAGAGAGAGAACGCACACACAAGAACAGGGTGAGGGGCATAGGGAGAAGCAGACTCCCCACTGAGCAGGGAGCCCAATACGGGGCTCGATCCCAGGACCCTGGGATCATGACCTAAGCTAAAGGCAGATGCTTAACCGACTGAGCTAGGCACCCCTCAGCTTCCTTTTATTTATTCAAATATTCATTCATGTCTGCTTGCATTGATTATGTGTAGCAATCTCCATTCCCTATGGTAGACATGTAATTTTAAATATATTTCTTTTTTGTCAAGTGATCATGATTTAGCCATTTAGTAGAACACAAAGCCAATTACAATTGCAAAAAGTACATTTTTATTGATTTTTTAACTGACAAGTAACATCTACTTTGAAGAGAATAGAAATTATCAAGTGATTAAGCTATTAAAGATACTAATATAACTAAATCGTAATGATATCATTATTTTCCAGAAATGTCTTGTTTCCATTCTGTGTGAAAGAATATAGTAGTACACCTTGGTTAGTTTCCATAACATTCTCTTTGTTAATATAGATTGCCTTTGCAAAATTTGACATCATAACCTATGAAAAAGGGGGTCTAAAACATTGCTTTATATTTGTAATTTAACATATCTTTGTAATGAAAACTTTTAAGGAACTTGAAACCTACTTTGAGCTATACTGTTTCTTTAAGGGACCTTGGCTTTACTCAAGAATCTTTTTCAAATAAGACACAAAACCAGTACCTTGGAGAAGAACAGAAAGAACATCAGCAGTCTTCGGAAGCTCAAGATAAATACAAACTCTGGCTTCTCAAAGGCCGTAATTTAGCGAGGGAGAAAGAGCAAGAGCGGAGGAGGAGAGAAGCAGTAAGTAAATATTAGTTTATTAAATCTAAGGAAAGATTGAACAGAGCATTGTCTTCTACAGGTTCAAAGATACATTCAGGGTAGTTTTCAGTGACTTTGGATTTACATCTTTAGTGAGTATTGAATTCTAAAATCAGAGCCTAAAATATTTTGTAAGTTAGAGACACAGAGTGTAATCATAATGTATGGTCATGGAGCTACTAGACTATGTAGGTTCAAATCCTAGTTCTGCCATTTACTAGACTTTTGGGCTTGGGCAATTTATTTAACCTCTCTGTGCCTCAATTTCCTTGTCTGTAAAGTGGGAATAATAATACCTGTTGTGAAGATGGAATGAATTTACACGTAGTAATAAACACAAAGGAACATTATTGGCACGTAAGTAGAGTGGTTTATCACGTACTGTTATTAACTCTTGAAAAATCCATAAACTATTGATAAATTGTGGCCAAAAGTTATGCCATCTATCCCAGGTCGGTGTTTTAGTTGAACACTAGGTAAAGAAGTTGACTTGTATTATAAGTCAATTATATCTTAAATTGGAAAGGAAAAAAAACTGACATGTTTAAGAGTCTTGATATACAGAAAATAATGTTTAAAAACTAGAATTGATTCTTTCATCCATGGATTATTTAGAAGTATATTAGTTTCCAAATATTTGGGAATTTTCTGGCTAGTAATTTCTGTTAGTGATTTCTAATTGAATTCCAGTGTAGTCAAAACTATATAACATCTTAAATTCATTAAGACTTTTTTAATGGTCCACATTATGGTCTACGTTGGTAAATATTCTGTGTGCACGTGAGAAGAATGTGTATTCTGCTGTTGAGTAAAAACAGGCCAAGTTGGTTGATAGTGTTGTTCAAGACTCCTGTCTATATTCTTGCTGATGTTCTGCCTGCTTATTCTATCAAATATTGAGAGGGGGCATTGCCATCTATGATTATATAGTTGTAAATTTGTCTTTTTATCCTTGTAATTCTGTCAGTTTTATTTCATCTATTTTGAAAGTGTATTGTTAGATATCTAAACATTTAGGATTTTTATGTCCTCTTGATTAATCCCCTTTTCATTACAAAATGATCTTCTTGATTCTTGATGATATTATTTACTCTGAAATTTACTCAGAAACATATCCGTTTCACCTTTTGTATGACTTATATTGGCATGGTGTAAAAAATGTTTTCCTCCTTTTACTTTTAACCTATCTGCATTTTGATATTTAAAGTGAGTTTCATATAGGTAACGTGGTGAGGTCTTGCTTTTTTTGTTTTTTTAAATCCAATCTCTGCCTTTTATACAAGTCTTTAGACTGACTACATTCAATATGATTATTGATAGGTTAAGTTTAAGTGCAACATCTTATTTCTTTTCTGTTTGTTCTTGTTAGCTCTTTTTTTCCTACATTCTTCTAATCATGTATTTTTATGATTCTATTTTATTTGCTTCATTGGCTTATTATCAGTAACACTTTGTTATTTGATGGTTGCTTTAGGGTTTGTAATATACACTTTAGCTTAACACAGTGTTCCTGTGAGTAATGCTATACCACTTTGCATTTGGTAGAATAACCTTACAGCGGTGTACTTCCATTTCTCCCCTCCCAGCTTACATGCTAATGTTTAAGTAGTCAAATTATCTTTTTAAAAATTTTAGGGGCACCTGGGTGGCTCAGATGGTTAAGCATCTGCCTTCAGGTCATGATCCCGGGGTCCTGGGATCAAGCCCTGCATTAGGCACCCTGCTCAGTGGGGAGTCTTCTTCTCCCACTCCCTCTGCCCTTCCCCCCTACTTGTGCTCTCACTCCCCCCACCCTCAAATAAATAAAATCTTTTTTAAAAAGTTCTAAATAAATTAAAATTTTATATTTACCTATGTAGTTACCATTTCCAGTACTCTTCATTCATTTAGATCCAGATTTCCAAATGGTATTAATTTTCCTTTCTCCTAAAGGACTTTTAACATTTCTTGTAGTGTGGGTCAGTTGGTGATGAATTCTTTCAGCTTTTGTATATCTGAAAATAACTTTATTTTGTATATCAGTAATAGACTTTATCTTTTAGAACATTTTAGATTCACAGCAAAATTGAGCCCGAAATACAAAGAGTTCCACATACTCCTCCCATGCCCCCATCAACGCATAACCTTATACACTATCAGCATCCCACCATCCATGAACCAGTATTGACACCACATTGATAACATCACTGTCAACCTTAGTTTCTATCAAGCAAAATCCATAGTTTACTTTAGGGTTCACTCTTTGTGTTGTGCTTTTTATGGGTTTGACAAATATGTAATGACATAGATCAATCAATTACAATGCCATCAGAATAATTTCCCTTTCTTAAAAGTCCCCTGTATACCTCCTATTAATCCCTTCTAACCACTCGTCTGTTTATTATCTCCATAGTTTTGCCTTTTCCAGAATGTCATATAGTTGGAATCATACAATATATAGCTGTTTCAGATTGGTTTCTTTCACTTTAGTAATATGCATTTAAGGTTCCTCTGTGTCTTTTTGTAGTTTGATAGCTCATTTCTTTTTGTCTGAATAAATACTCCCAGTATATGGATGTATGACTGTTTATCCATTCACCTATTGATAGACATCTTGGTTGCTTCCAGCTTACAGCAATTACAGTAAACACTTGTGTGCAGGTTTTTGTGTTTTAAACTTGCCTTTATTTTTTTTTTTAAAGATTTTATTTATTTATTTGAGACAGAGAGAATGAGAGAGACAGAGAGCACATGAGAGGGGGTAGGGTCAGAGGGAGAAGCAGGCTCCCCGCCGAGCAGGGAGCCCGATGCGGGACTCAATCCCGGGACTCCAGGATCATGACCTGAGCCGAAGGCAGTCGCTTAACCAACTGAGCCACCCAGGCGCCCTTGCCTTTATTTTTTTAAATATACTTTTTACTGGATGTAGAATTCTAGATTGTTAGTGTTTTTTCTTTCAGTACTTTAAAGATGTTCTTCACTAGCTTCTTGCTTGCTTTGTTTACAGTAAGAAATTTGGTATCTTTGTTTTGTATAAAACATGCCTTTCGTCTGGCTGCTTTTAAGTTTTATTCATCACTGGGTTTTTGTCTGTTGTTTTTGTACTTTGTCGGGCTTATTATTGGAAATGTGTGTTTATAGTTTCCATCAAGCTTGGAAAATTTTTGGCCATTATTTCTTCATATTTTTTCTTTTTCCTCTTTTCCTCCTTTGAGCAATCACTTATTAGGTCACTTGAAGTTGTCCCACACTGATGCTCTTAATTTAAACAAATTTTTTTTCTCAGGGTGCCTGGGTGACCCACTTGGTTAGGTGTCCAACCTCGTGATTTTGGCTAAGGTCATGATCTCACAGATTGTGGGATCAAGCCCTGTGTTAGGCTCTGCAATCAGCAGGGAGTCTGCTTGGGATTGTCATTCTCCTTCTGCTCCCTCTGCTCGCTCATGTTCGCTCTCTCTCTCAAATAAATAAATAAAATAATAAAACAATTTTTTCTTCTTTTCATTTTACTTCAATTCACTAATCTTCAATGTCTAATCTGCTGTTAATTCCATCCAGTGTATTTTTCATCTAAGACATTGTAGCTGCCATCTTTAAAAGTTCAATTTGAGTCTTTTAAAAATGTTTTTTGTATTTCTATTAAGTTTTTGAACAAATGAAATACAATTATAACCTATTTCAGTGGGCTTCTGCTAATTCTGTGATCTCTGTCAGCTCCAGGTTGTTTCAGTTGATTGATTGGTCTCTTTATGGAAATGTTTTTCTGCTGCTTTATATGGTAATCATTGATGCCAGATGTTGAGTTTTACCTTCTTGGGTCCTGGATATTTTTGTGATCCTGGGAAAGATGCAGGAATTCATGGGACATTCAGGAATGTAGTTTGAGAAGAAAAAAGCCATTGACTTTGGCTGTATATTGATTATAATACAAATGAATTTACTAAGGAATAATGTACAAAAGTTTTGTCAGCTTCTTATTTTGTAATACTAAGGTAGAAATAAACTGCATTTGGCAGTGTTGTAACATGTGGTAGAGTTTACAACAATGTGGTCTTACAGAAATTTCTAAAGGTTTAAATAACTAAACTTAAACATTTTAATTTAACTTTTTTATATATTTCTTGTATTTTTTTAGGAGCTCATAATTTTTCATTAGTACTTAGCTAGAAGTATTTTCTCTAGTGACTTAGGAATTTTTCCTGTTGGTTCTCACAAGGGCCTCACTTCAGGCACCCATAAGTGATTTCTCAGCAACTTACTTGCTACCTAACAACCCAGTGAGGTAACCCAATATAATTTCTAATATCCTAAGCACTTTTCTGGAACTTGTCTAGACCTGGAATCCACTGAAATGTAACTAACACTGTATCTAGCAGCTTTGATAATAAACAACCTGATCTTGGATCTGCCTACTATCATTTTTGACAACACAAACTCTTATGTTGCTGCTAATTTATAGATCTATTCTCGAAAAAGATAATAACTTGACACCTAGCAGAGCTTCCATGAATTCACCTCATGCCAGTTCCCTTGACCAAGTATTCAATCCTAAATTTGAATGGTTGAGGTATATATATTAGGTTATGATGATAGCTGCAGGGAGTGTTAGTTATGTAAATCATGGTATCAAAGGTTAGTTGGTGTAGAGAATAACAGTTCCATATCAATAATTATCCCACACATACAGATTTTAGTCAAGATGGAAGACAGTCTGAAATAAAGTACTTTTAAAATAAAAACAAGTTTCATTACATATTATTAGGATTTTGCAGTATGTCTGGATACTTACAGGAATATATCACATGATATTTACATGAGGACAGTGTATCCAACTCTCATATTGGAGGGTTAAAATAGAACTTTGGGGAATTCTCTGGGCTAGACATTTGGCATCCTGAGTTGGCATTAGGAAAGTAGCCTGGGTTATGATTTAAGAATTTATCCTTTTATTTCTGTGGCATATTTAAAGCAATATTTGTAGCTTACAAGAGTCACACTTAACTTTTTAATATCCTTTTGGTAGATAAGTCATAATTTCAAATCATCTCCCACATAGCCAATGGGAATACTGATTCTCATCCAGGAAGTCAACTAATTGGTTGCAGATTGGCACATTTACCTACAGCTCTGGGCTGTTACTATTTACTGATTTAAAAAAATGAACAATTTTTAAAGATTTACTTATTTTAGCAAGGAGGGGAGCAGAGGGAGAAGGAGAGGGAATTCCAAGCCAACTCCACACTCAGCGCGGAACCCAAAGTAGGGTTCAATCTCACAACACTGAGATCATGACCTGAGGCTAAACCAAGAGTTGGATGCTTAACCAACTGCGCACCACTGAGGTACCGCAAAAAACATTTTTAAAAATTATAGCTGGGGTCATTTTGGATGCCATCACATGAACATTTAGAGAAGGCTTCAGAATATAAGAAACATTTATTTCCTTTGCCTTATTTATTTATTTTAGATTTTATTTATTTATCTGAGAGGGTAAGAGAGTGAGCAGGGGGGCGGGAGGGGCAGAGAGAGAGGGAGAGGGAGAAGCAGACTCCTCACCGAGCAGGGAGCCCGACTTGGGGCTTGATCCCAGGACCCTGAGATCATGACCTGAGCCGAAGGCAGACGCTTAACCAACTGAGACACCCAGGCACCCCTATTTCCTTTGTCTTAATTAGACTTTTGTTTACTTTAGCTTATTTTTAATGCCTTTTTAGCATTTAATGAACAATGTTGTACTGAGTGTTATACATGCAATTTGGTTTGATTTTCATAAATACCTATATATAAAATAAACTTGGTTAAATAATTTGCCCTAGGTTACACAGTAAGTGGCAGAATCCAGGAAAGCCTGTAGCTTTAATGTTACATATTATAGTTTCCTCAAATAGTTAGAGATACTGGACCATTCAGAAAATAATTTTATGTGTCTAGTGTTATGTTGGTTGTAGAGATAAATGAAACAATATAATCTCAGTTCATGTCCGTATTAATATTCTGTCAACACTGAGAGTTTTCTCTCTTATTTGGAGAAGTTAAACTTGTTCTTAGTGTTCTTGTAAGTTTTAAGTTTTATTTATCACATGAACAATAATTTAACAAAAATCAGTATTTGAAGAGAAATAGAAAATTACATAAACTCGTTATGTTAAATAAATTGTGTTCATGTTATATAATCTGTTCCAAATGTTGTGATCATTTTTATACAGTTCTAATGAAGGCATAAATTTTTTTAAAGTAACATTGAATTTTTTTTCCTTCTTTCTACAGATGGCTGGTACCATTGATATGACTCTTCAAAGTGACATTATGACAATGTTTGAAAACAACTTTGATTAAAACTTATTAACCATCAACTTAAAATGAGTGATCTAAAAGATTAAAATGCATATGGTAAAATGATTGCTTTCAAACACCAAGATACCAATCTTATATTGTATTTTGACTGCTCTAAAATGATTAAACAATTTTCACATATATTTTTAATAGCTATATGTTCATTTTCTAAATGGTATAATTTACAGGAAATTTTATAATTTTGGATCTGAAGTCTTCTCTAAATGTTCATGTGAATTGAATAAATTCCCAGATGCTATTCATTTTATAAATAATTGTCTGCTATGTATTATAGGCCCTGTCTAAGCAGTGAAAATCCAAGAGATAGCCCCTTCTTGTTTAAAAATGAAATATATATAAAAGTGTATCAAAAACAGCCCCTGTTGAGTTTTTAACTTTTAAAACAAATACCTATCTGCCTTAAAATATTTAGAATCTCTAACAAATAATACTTGTTTTTTTTCTGTCAGGTTATGTAAGATTCTCTGCTGATTCTGTTTGCAAAATTTATATTGAAATTTAGTTTAAAGAGAATGTTACCTATGGTTTGGATGATGTTAAATTTGAGCAAAATAATAGTAAATATTATGATGTAAGTTTCTATAGGAACTTATACAGTTCTTAGATGCATATGTGATAGCATTGAATGTTTACATTTTTATTTAACTATGTAGTCTTTAAATCTGTAAATTATTTTTGTTTCATCATTCTCAAGTTGCAATTATGTATAAATCATGTGTATCCATTTCATATATTTTAACATTTTGGACTCTTGAAGTGTAACATGATTCAGGCCCCTTTATAATACCATCTAAAGTAAAAATTCAAAGTGAGTGTGTATTATAGAGAGAAAGAGAAAAAGTTTTCTTGACTTCATGTGTTTTTATAATCAATATAATTTTTTTGAAATAGCTACATGACAGCCATTTTAAAAATATGATCAACTAGTGGCTGAAATGGTGGTGAAACCTTCATGAAACATAGCTAGAATTAAAGTGGTAGTCATACCCATTCAACTATAGCTCTTTTTTTTTTTTTTTTAGATTTTATTTATTTATTTGAGAGAGAGAGAGAGCACAAGCCAGAGGGAAGAGGCAGAGGGAGAAGTAGGCTCCCCACTGAGCAGGGAGCCTGATATGGGGCTCGATATGGGGCTTGATATGGGGCTTGATCCCAGGACCCTGGGAGCATGACCTGACCAGAAGGCAGATGATTAATGGACTGAGCCACCCAGGCGCCCTTCAACTATGGCTATTTTTAAGAAAGGAATTAGTATGTATATACTAAGTAGTTTGCATTGTTATTTTCCTAAAAGATCATCATAGATTAGATTTATCTCTATATTTTAGCATATATGTATTTTTAGGATGATACATCAGATGCACATAGTGGTTAGTTCTAGGTGATGGCATTACAGGGTGTTTGTTTCATTTAAGACATTTCATATTTTCTGGTTCTTTTTAATATTATGTAATACTTTTAGGATCTGTGGGAAACTTTCCATTTTGAAGAGAGAATGAAAATAGTAAGGATTTACTTCTGTCAAATACACATTAAATCTTTCAACAGCTGCCTTTAAACAACTAATAAAATTGATGAATCAATGAGCTTTGGCTACATCTGAAAAAAGAAAATTCAGCTTTATTAACATCTTTTTATATTAAGGAATAATGTCTTACTTGAGGTTTTCCTATTAACATTTGGAGGAGCCCTGATAGAGAGCTGTGTTATGATTATCAATGTTTTGTTTAACCAGCTTAACATTTAAACTTTGCTCAGTCAACAAACTTTTTGGTAGGTTGGCTGAAGTCAGTTTAGCAGAGAAAATATCTATTTATAAGTGATCCTTCCTATATTATGCTTTCTTTTTTGGTAAAAGATTTTTTGGCTTTTCTTCTTGTGGAGTTTACTTCTGTTAATTTTATGCATGAAATACTGCATGTAACTTATTTGCCTTCAACTCAAGCCTGGTTTTGTGAGGACCCCTTTTCTGTCCACATCTCTCACTACTCTCCAACTTCTAAAACTTTTTCATGGTGTTTTCTGGGATTCTTAATTGGTCATCAAAAACATTCCCTATGTGATCAAACTTATTGTTTGTTTTTTCCCTTTTTTTGTTCTTGAGTTGTTCTGGAAGTGTGGTCCCTGGACCAGCTTCATCAGCATCATCTGAGAAGGTTTTAGAAATGCAAATTCTCAGACTTCAGAATTACTGAATCAGAAACTCTGATGTAGGGTTTAGCAATCTTTAGTTGAACACTCCTTCCAGGTGATTCTAATACCAGCTTGAGAATTTGAGAATCACTAACTGAACCTGGGCTCTCTGCTGTAGGCTCTCATTTAGTGCCTCTTTCTTTTCACTAGTGTTTTTCTTAACTTTGGGGTGCCATTTGCAGGCTATCCTCCCCTCTACCCCCCAACTTCTTCCCTAAATACCCCCAGCTTTAGGTTTTTCATGATCATAAGACTATACCACCCTTATTCATTTACCATCCCTGGATCACTCCTTCTTCCCCAGAGATTTTAGTCTCTCACTATTTCTAATTGACACTTGTCAATGTCAGTTGAACTCTCTGCTAATGATCTTAATAGCTAATCAACTTTAGCCATTCCTTGTCATTGCCAATAACTAAAATCTTTCCTTAGTCTCAATTTCAAGCAAGCTCTTACTACTTCCTCATATCTTTTTCTAGCTTTCTCCAGATAGGCCCTTGACTCCAGCAATCATTAGGCCTCACCACAACCTTACAATCCATTAATCCTAGTGCTCTTCATAGTACCTCTCCCCTTAATGGCCTCTTTCCTTATGCAAGTTTGTTGTGCATTATTATTTATAACCACTCCCTTGCATATACCCTCAACTCCATTGCTCCTTTCTTTGTTGTATTCACTTGACAAAACTCAAATCCTTATTAAATCTGACTGCCTGCTCTGCACCCATGAAGCTGTTTGTGGTTGCAGAAACACATGCAACCAGGATAACCAGTCTCACTTCAAATTCATGAGCATAAACTCAAGTTAGCCGTAATGCTGCCCAGAAATCTTACTACCAATGTATAGTAAGAAAAATTTCTCTCCTCCCTATCCCAACTATTGAGAGATCAAAACTTGTATATTTTTCAATCTTCTTTTTAAAGGATTTTATTTATTTATTCATGAGAGAGAGGCAGAAGGAGAAGCAGTCTCCCAGCTGAGCAGAGAGCCCAATATGGGCTAGATCCCAGGACTCTGGGATCATGACCTGAGCCAAAGGCAGATGCTTAACTGACTGAGCCACCCAGGTGCCCCTATTTTTCGGTCTTTTTATGCTCATCCACATATTGGCATTTCAGGACTTTGAGGGGGTTGTTTTTACAAAAACATGATCCTTTATACATGTTACTTGGCGATTGAGTTTTTTTTATGATTTTTTTTTTTTTTTTTTTTGAGAGAGAGCACATGAGAGGGAGGAGGGTCAGAGGGACAAGCAGACTCCCCGCCGAGCAGGGAGCCCGATGTGGGACTCAATCCAGGGATTCCAGGATCATGACCTGAGCCGAAGGCAGTCGCTTAACCAACTGAGCCACTCAGGCGCCCTGGCAATTGACTTTTTCTTAATACATCAGGACCATCTGTCTAGGTCTTTAGATGGATATAGATGGATTCATTTTTTGTATTTTTTTAATTTAAATTCAATTAGTATATAACGTATTATTGGTTTCAGAGGTAGAGGTCAGTGATTCGTTAGTCTTACGTAATACCCAGTGCTCATTACATGATTCATTTCTTCTTTAAAAGGCTGCACAACATTCCTTAGAACAGACGTATCATGATTTATATAATCCCCTATTGATTCAGTTAATTCCAGTCTTTCTCTACTGAACAAAGCTGCAGTAAATATACTGTGTATATAGCCTTACATAATTGTGCTGCTATTTCTAAAGAGTAGAGCTTCCAAAATAGGGTTGCTGGGTCAGAAGTTACAGTCAAAGGGAGTAATTTTTATTTTAATAGGAGGTACCAAATGACTTTTCCAAAAAACTTGAGAGCAGGTCACATTCCTAGGAGTCTGAAAGTACCACTTTACCATTATCCTCACCAGCATTGGATATTACTGCCCTCATTTTCTTTGCTAATCTGAATGAAAAGATTATAATCCGTTTCTTTACTTTTTCTCTCCTGGACTTCAAGTGGGGTTGATCTTATATCTGTTAGCCGTGTGACTTGCCTAGTAACCAATATCCTTTGGAAATTCTTTTGGTTTATAAGTTTGTACAAAGTCCCCCCCCCCCTTTTTTTAGATGGTTCAGAAACACTTTTTCACAATCTACTGTTTGTCTTTTGAGATTTATTGCCTTTTTTCCATTAAAATTTTAAATTTTATGTAGTTGTATGTCTGGATTTTCCTTTATAGTGTCTGGCTATTCTACCTTGTTTTGGATTGTATTCCCCACATTAAGATGGTAAAACAGTCTTTATTTTGCACTTAAAATCCAGATAATTAATTTTTATACTAAGATTCCAGATGGATTAAAGACATTTTTATAAGAGATAGGGAACCAGATTTCTTTTTTTCTAAATGAACTCTCAGTTATACTGCCACAATCTACTTATTGAACCTCTGAATTGCAGTAGTTGTCATTCTGTAAGAAATTCATAATCACTTTTTTTTTTAAAGATTTTATTTATTTATTTGTGTGAGAGAGAATGAGAGAGAGCACATGAGAGGGGGGAGGGTCAGAGGGAGAAGCAGACTCCCTGCCGAGCAGGGAGCCCGATGTGGGACTTGATCCTGGGACTCCAGGATCATGACCTGAGCCGAAGGCAGTCGCTCAACCAATTGAGCCACCCAGGCGCCCGAAATTCATAATCACTTTATCCAATTTTTAGAAGTTGAGTGAAATTGAACATTAGAATTTTGATTGGGATTAGATTAGAATTAAATTTAGAGACCTACCAATTTTGTTTCTAGTATTACAAATAAATCCTGCATGGGACCCATTTTTTAAGGCATTGCCAGTCTC